TTTTTTTCATAAAATCCAAGTTTATGTTTGTCAATGCCAATTCTATTCCTGAATCTTGTATTATAATTATGAGTATCTCCAACAAAATGAAGTTGGTCCTGACGGTTTTTCACAGAAATTATAGTTTCATAAATGTACATTGCATATACAGTCATGATACCAATTTTAGAAAAAAAGAGTTTTACCGATTCATTATAATTTAATTTTAATATAATCTGAATTGATTGTTCCTGAATTTTTAGTATTTTGTTCAAATTTTGAATGGAAGTTGCCCCATATAATGAAAGACCAAAGGCGATATTTGAATGAATATAGGCGAAATACACTATTTTCAGAGTCTCTGTTGAACAAATTTTTGAGAGCCTCCTTAGTGCATATACCCCAGAGTTTAATTTAGAAACTAGATTATTGACATGGCTGTTCCAAGACAAGTTGCTGTCTATAGTTAATCCTAAAAATTTAGATTCATACACCTTCTCTAATTCAGTTTCATTTATAATGATGGTAGGTGACAGCATATTTTTATTATTTTGATAAGTTTTGAATTCAATGAAATTTATTTTAGCAGAGTTTAGTACTAAACTATTATTTTGGAAAAACTGATTTAAAAGAGCCAGGTTTGAAAATGATGACAACTCAACCTCCTCAATAGAGAGCCCATTTATTTGAAGATTGGCGTCATCAGCATAAAGACATAAGCTATAATTATTATGTAATTTTGGCATGTCTTTTATGTAGCATGTGAATCACTTCCTTACTACGGAACAATGGCCTTAGAATGTTTATCACTCGGAAGGGATTTGGTGAAAGTGTTATGCTCTTGAGGTATTATCCATAAATTAAGAATACTTAGCATGTCTAGTATGTTTGGAACTCCTAGACAGTTTTTTATCTGCTCCACGATCTTGTAGTTTGTTTATTTTCTTCTCCTTTTTTCGATAACTACTTGCCCCCGAACATCAATCTCTTGAAATTCAGTTAAGATTTTGTATTTGAATTTGACAGTGTGTGGTGTTTCTTTCTGAAACATTAACTATTTATTTTCATCCACTCTAACAGTTGTCACTTCAGTGCTCAAAGTGGTGTTTAACATGATTCTGATCAGCCAAATGTTGTAGGTCTAGGATATCCATGTGGGATAATACATTAGTGTTATAAGATCTATACTTTTTCCTTGCTGTTTTGATGAATTTGTTATTTTTTTGCTCGCCACGAGTATCCAAAAAGGATTAGTAGACGTATTTTACATTTATAGCACTTATTTGAGGTACTTATACAAACAAGTACCTCAAAAAATTATTACTCATCAACCTAACATATGATGTAATAATGGGGTAGCGGATTTTTATCCCCCTGGAATTTTACCCCCTGGGCAAACGTGACGTCACAAACCAGGGGTAAAATTCCGGCCGCGAACTTTTGAGTTTCGCCACATCAGCTCGATGGATTATATGCGGAATTAAACATATATTTTCACGGTTGTGAATTTAATCAGAACACATATCAAATTATAAAAACCTAAAGTGTACGGCCCGGTGGATTTTAGCGAATTTCCCTATAGGGAAGTAGCTATTACCGTAGGTCTCATGGTAAGACCTAAGCCCGGGACCGATTTACTTTTTCATTTTGATGTCCCCAGAGGCCAAAAACACCATTCGTTCAAATTTTTATATATATATGTGTCCATCCGCACGATAACTTGAGTAATTTTTGTCCGATTTTGGTAAAATTTGGTTTGAAGGTGTAAGGCGGGATAAACTTGAATGAGTTCGCGAACCAGCATGATCGGACTATGGGAACGGGGGTTTATGGGGGGTTTTATGGGGTAAAAATAGGTTTTTCCCATTTTTGACCCTAAAAACACAAAATTTCACAATTTCTTTTTAAACCATTTTGTAGAGCTTAAAAAAACAAATAATTTAGTATATTGAAGCGTTATTATGCGCCTAATTGTTACGGAGAAAATTCCAAAAAATTGTAATTTTAAAATTCCCATGTTAGTCTTATGGAGTCAACTGTTGTAGTTTGCTTGTTTATGAACATATTTTGATCAAATTTGGAAAATACATGAATTTCTTACTAAACCGCAGTACCTTTTAATATTTTACATAAAAAAAACTTTTTTACCCTCCCTGTTGCAGCAAACCTAAGTAGGTACTCATTAAACTAATTCTGTTTAAATAGGGAATAAATGTGATATTTTTAAGGAGACATTTTAGTTTAAATCCAATCAGGCAAATGGAAATTTGCTAAGTCTGCAGGTTTGCTGCGGCGGGGGTATTTATTTTTAGATTTCTTTAACGATTTATTATACAACCGTGGTAAAACAATGTTTTTCGTTTGTATTGTAACAATAACAAAATATGCTTTATTGTTTCTTTAATACGTTCAGAAATGTTCACCCAATTATCATTTAAATGAGCTACTCAGTTTATTTTACATACTTATTAACCAATAGTTGGCCCCAAACTTAAATCCCGAACATCAAAATTAAAAAGCTAATTCTGTTTACTTAGTTGAGACTAGCTGTTGTACCCGTGCTTTGCAACGGGAAGAGGACACAAAATAGAAACATTTTAATATTTATCTCTTGCATATAATAGTTACACATCCGCCAACGCTTTTAGAAACAAAATTAAACTTTTTTAGCCTTAATAGAAACGTTTGAAGTTATGACTTTTAAATCTGGTAAGAAGTGGATACCACCATTTTGGTTTTTATTAATTTTAAATCTTGTGTAGGCTGATATGAGAAAAACTGACCAAATCTTCGACGCTAGTTAAATGGACAGGGAGTAAAATTCTGGGTTTTATCGCTAATCTAATTAATCACGCTCTGGCTATTTTCATCAGACTTCCAAATCCGCGGGGGTAAAATTCCGGCCGCGAACAAACTTTTGGCCACTCAGGTTACTACGTCATAGTGACGTCAACTTTGCCTAGGGGGTAAAATTCCACGGGGATAAAATTCCGGCGACCCGTAATAATGTGTCATCCCATATAAAAAATTATGTGCTTCAGCTGAACTTTTCCTGCCATTTATTTCGTCAAACAAGATACTATGACAATCTCTGTTTGTATCATAAATTGTAAATTATAATAAATTTAAGAATCTCCGCCCGAGGGGATATTTAGAATTGCCTCTAGGTCAAACGTAATAGCCCCTTTTGTGATGTCAGTTTCAGCATATTTTTTGTCTTCCTCTTTAATTGCCATCACGTCTTTCATGAGTTTGTAGTTCCCATTCATTTTCAATATCTGACTGTCCCTAGGGTAAACATATGAGTTACCCATATTCAACCATTAATTACAAAATTATTAATTACGCTCAATAACCCCGTGTAGACCGATTTACCGAAATAACAATAATAATAAATACAACACAATAACAATAATAAAGTCGTTAAGGAGTGGACTGTTAGATATACTGATCTTTTTTACTTAAAAAATGACAATTTAAGGACAGTTTTCTTATTGAATATACTTTTTCATCACTCCGTAACGAAAGTAACTATTTTCTAGGTGATTTTACCTATTAAAACTGCCAGAATTTTTCTATATGCGTGTATAAACTAGCAGTTCTGCATTGTTTCATTTTTAATAGACTACTTCATTCCCGTACGTTGGACAGGTTAACAGCTAGTTAGATATAATATTATGATGTAATAAAATACGAAATAAACGAGATCTTTGTGCAAGCATACCAACGAGAAGCATAACATACATAGCTCACATACAAGCATATACATTGCTCATTATAGTAAGGGTAAGGGTATAGGATCAAGTCGAGCTTGACTACTCGTTGGTTGACAACAAGAATGAGGATTGGAGGTTTTCCCCGAGTTCAGGGAAAGTTTTGTCCAGAGAATCAGAGATATCTGTGTTTACTTTCACTCGCTCCCGTTTCTCTGTATAAATATAACTTTTGCCCTCACTCGCTTAACCAGTTATGTAAACTCCCCTTAAATCGTCCACAAAAATAGAATAGAATACTCGCTAGCTTAATAATTTCTATACGGATTAAGTTAATTTTAGCGAATTTATCATAGGGAATAAGCTTTACTGAAGGTCTAATGGTGAGACCTTTTCCCGGGACTGACTTACTTTTTCGTTTGTACGTCCTCCAGAGACCTCAACAAACATCAGTTTTAAAAGCGAATGAATGATGTAACAAAATTTTAATTATACCACTAAAATTGATATACAGTAGTACACATGTTTGTTTAAAATAACTAGTTTTACAAACATAAAGTAATCAAGAGTAAATTTTTAATTTTGTAGATAGTAATAATTTTTAATTGATTTATGGAATCAGCAGACATGGATAAACTCTGCCTGTGTGTGTCTTCTGGTCTGCTTTCTTTTAATGACCATAATTTGTTGATATGGATATTTAAACGGAGGTTGAATGAAAAAGGGGGAAAATGGTTGTTTAATGTAAGGTTCATAATATACACGATAACTCGAGTAAAATAAATCATACGATTTTGAAGATTTTATACTTTTGTACAAGACTTGTAAACTTACATCACATACATTTAAACAAGTTTTGCAATCATGATCAGACTATTGAAAATGGCTTTTATGGGGTGAAAATTAGTTTTCCCCTTTTTTACCCTCAAAAGTCTTAAATGCAATTGGCATTGAGTTAATCAATCAGACAAATTCTCCAGTTTAAAGAACTTTTTGAAAACAACAACTCGGGTTAACTACTTCTTCGACGTGACAATTTAAATACACGAAAAGAAATTACTTCCATCAGTGTAAGCGGAATTCCACAAAAACAATGGTTGAGTAATCGAGTCACGTGACTAGTTTCCGGTTTGCGAGTCACCTTATCATTATCCCCCCTGATAACAATTACCCCCCCCCCCAGGCCATGGAACGATGGAACGTGTTGAGAGGGTGGAGGGGAGGAAGAGAAGCAGTTTGTAGATCGATCGATAGGCCTACTGGCCTACTCAGACTCGCCTACTATACACTATACTACACTACAGTATTAGCAGATAGTGCAGTGCAGTGGCACGTCAATAACCTACTTTGCCACGACCAAGACCAGCCAGCCACACCATAACCTGACCACGGAAACAGAACTGCTGTCGCTTCGAGGTTAGTTCCAGGCGAAGGTTAGTAGGAGGATAAGGAAAATTACAATAAACTAGTACCTGTGCTGTTAATTTCTGAGCAAATCTACAAACGTAGTCAGGTAAATATATTTAGCAGTGTTTTAGATCTTGATTGGAACAAGTCTTTTCAAATGGTAAAATTTACTTCATTATTGTTCTAATTCAACCACATCAATAATGAGTTGTGACCAATAGATGTACTACTGTTATAAAAGAACCTTTGTTGATTTTAATTAGGCCAATATTCCTTCAATATGTCTTTGTTTATTAGTTTTTGTACATATGACATTTTAAAACAAAGGTGTTATAAGTACATATATTGGGGACATTGATTTTTGTTTTCTAATTTTTACACAGTCAAAGTTACTGGTTTATTTTAAGACACGCACCTAATTCAAATAAAGAGTTTAATACAAACAGTAAAAAATTCTCAATTGATAAAATAAACTTAAATACCATACTGAGGCATATATAAAAATAAATTTTGCAAAATGGAAATGCAGTATATATTTTAATTGGCTGGATTTATTCTTTTAATGGAGAGAATATAATTATTATTATGATGAAAAATCATTTAAGTTTTAAAGTAAATTTTAAAATGTGGGCCTACATAAAATTATGTATAAACTGACTCTAAACCAAACTTTGTTTCTTGTAATTTATAAAAAATATTAGACACACTTCCTATGTGGTTAAGTCCACTTCACAGTTTCTTTTAGTTGTCCACTTCAACTTCATAATCATGTCACTTATGCCATGTACAAATAACTTTTTGTTTTTAGTCCAATAATAGACCACACAGACTTCAACCAATTACAACTCTGTAAAACATTATCACATGACTTATCATGAGAAAATGTTAGTCTGAATCAATTTATTGATTTGTTTGTTCTTTGGTATTGATTTTAACATGAATTCATTTTACCTTATGATAAATAACAAGAAAAAATGCTTTCATAACCCTTTGGAGGTATGCCTGGCCATATAACATATAACCATTAACCATATGTAACATATAAGTGCTGGTGTCCAGGAATCACTGTTACTAGTGTCTAGTGCAAAGTCTAACACTGCCCCTTCGCCCTCATGTAGGCTACCACAACGCTCATGGTGGGTTGTGGGACGAAAACCCTGTGCGATAGGAATTTTCACACAATGCTCGTCGCTTACGCTCTTGCTTGCTAATAAGTATATTTTCCTGTACAACAAACTAGAGCTGAAAGCGTACGGTCGTACCCATAAGCAAGTTTCCTCTGTATCTTACTTCTCTGTGCTACTAAAAAAAAGTAGAAGGGGCAGATAGATTCTCTATTCCGCCCTTCACAATATTTCATGGTCAGTAAATAACTAGAGTCTCGACCTTGTAAGTTTGCAGTTGGTGGCAGCCAATCACAAGACAAGGCTAGTGCGACGTTGCCACATCACCCGTTGACAACACTAATTAAAATATACTAAGCAATATTTTCAAATCAGCTGGTATTTATTAGATTTGGCATCACCGCACGGTTCTCATTGGTTCATTCAAAACCATGTGGTAAATAGGCTCCTCCCTCAACTGCAAACTTACGTGGTCCCGACTGTAATGAGATGTGCCTTCATGTTTATCCTTGCATGTTTGTTTCCTCAGATGGCAGTCACAAGTCTACTTTATCATGTAACTGTTGTCGGCTACTTCATGGTGGTCACTCACTGGATGAAAGAGAACATGCTGGAGTTCAAACCTGAGGAGATAAATGATCCAGTGGTACGTCATGTCAAAAGGTTTTCGCTGCGATATCTTACCAACTGGACTTTTGTAAGTACCAAATCAACTCTCTGATCGCTTGAGTCCTAACTTTACATTATCATTGTAGGATCCCAGGGGCTATGCCTAGAGGTTTTGCCTGATCAATCCTGAGAAAAGTCACTTGCTTTTTGATAGGTTGAAACAGTACCCATAGCTGTTCCTGATCATTGGGCTGTAAATCAAATGGTCCTGACTGATTAAAAAGCTGATCTTATTCAGTAAGAAAGCTACACAGATCATCTCATTCCATTCTACACTTATCCTTTACTCATATTTGGATTAAAATACGCATCTAGGTGGTGTCCCTATTTCAGTTGATAGTGATGATAATACCAAAATGTTGTGAATAATATTTAATAACTGTGATGGAAAATGTCTCATCAAAGTTTGTATTTACAGTTTCAGTTTGTTACATAACAGTTTCACGTACTCAAACTTCAGTCATCCAGAGTACATACAGTAATCATACAGTGAATTCACTATTTAGTAGAAAAAAGTTAAAATTATATATAGAAGGCAGTATATTGGATGATTTTCCGTTCATTCAAAGACTCCCAAAAGCCAGAAAAAGGCATACCGATGAAATTGTAAAGAAGTGTTTTTGACTCCCTAGAGAATTTTGAGGTTAAAGGTACAAAAGTACTCGGAGACATGAAAATGACTCCTAAGGAGGGGAAAGATGCTCCGAAGGGGAGGTAAGGTACTCACCCCCCACCACTTGGGTACCATTCGGCGGGTACTTAACCAGGTTGTTTGGCACCGAGAAGTCAGTTGGGCCTCCGGGCCCGACCCCGCCGGATGGGCGTGTTGAGCCCCTGGCACCGTCGGACGGGCGTGTTGAGCCCCCGGCACCCTCGCATGGGCGTGTTGAGCCCGCGAGACACCTGATGGGCGTGCTGAGCCACAGGTACGCTGGACGGGCGTGTTGAGCCCCCGGCACCCTCGCATGGGCGTGTTGAGCCCGCGAGTTACCTGATGGGCGTGCTGAGCCCCGGGTACGCTGGACGGGCGTGTTGAGCCCCCGGCACCCTCGCATGGGCGTGTTGAGCCCGCGAGTTACCTGATGGGCGTGCTGAGCCCCGGGTACGCTGGACGGGCGTGTTGAGCCCCCGGCACCGTCAGACGGGCGTGTTGAGCCCCCAGCACCCTCGCATGGGCGTGTTGAGCCCGCGAGTTACCTGATGGGCGTGTTGAGCCACGGGTACGCTGGACGGGCGTGTTGAGCCCCCGGCACCGTCGGACGGGCGTGTTGAGCCCCCGGCACCCTCGCATGGGCGTGTTGAGCCCGCGAGTTACCTGATGGGCGTGTTGAGCCAGCGAGTTACCTGATGGGCGTGTTGAGCCACGGGTACGCTGGGCGGGCGTGTTGAGCCCCCGGCACCGTTGGACGGGCGTGTTGAGCCCCCGGCACCCTCGCATGGGCGTGTTGAGCCTGCGAGTTACCTGATGGGCGTGTTGAGCCACGGGTACGCTGGACGGGCGTGTTGAGCCCCGGGTACGCTGGACGGGCGTGTTGAGCCCCCGGCACCGTCAGACGGGCGTGTTGAGCCCCCGGCACCCTCGCATGGGCGTGTTGAGCCCGCGAGTTACCTGATGGGCGTGTTGAGCCACGGGTACGCTGGACGGGCGTGTTGAGCCCCCGGCACCGTCGGACGGGCGTGTTGAGCCCCCGGCACCCTCGCATGGGCGTGTTGAGCCCGCGAGTTACCTGATGGGCGTGTTGAGCCACGGGTACGCTGGGCGGGCGTGTTGAGCCCCCGGCACCGTCGGACGGGCGTGTTGAGCTCCCGGCACCCTCGCATGGGCGTGTTGAGCCTGCGAGTTACCTGATGGGCGTGTTGAGCCACGGGTACGCTGAACGGGCGTGTTGAGCCCCCGGCCTGTCGGACGGGCGTGTTGAGCCCCCGGCACCCTCGCATGGGCGTGTTGAGCCCGCGAGTTACCTGATGGGCGTGTTGAGCCACGGGTACTGCTGGATGGGCGTGTTGAGCCACCAGCACCGTCGGATGGGCGTGTTGAGCGCCCGACACCCCGCATGGGCGTGTTGAGCCCGCGGGACACCTGATGGGCGTGTTGAGCCACGGGTACCGCTGGACGGGCGTGTTGAGCCACCAGCACTGTCGGACGGGCGTGTTGAGCCACCGACACCTTCGCATGGGCGTGTTGAGCCCGCGTGTCCGTAGTCGTAGGTGGAGGGGTGGACTTTGGGGTCGCCCACCACCTTTAAAGCATATACATAGGTATACGCTAAGTGTTGAAGGAGTTTACGTCGGACTGCAGACCGAGTAGACTGCCTAGAGAGTGCTAACTTCTGAGCAAGTGACGCCAGAACCGTCTCCAGTGGAGAGCAGTAGCACATTAAACCGGCCCAGCTTGACTTCTGTGCTTGGAAAGCCAGAACCGTCTCCAGTGGAGAGCAGCAGCTAGGGGACCGAGGATTCCGGGGTGAAGGTGCCAAGGATCTAGACCGCGGACCCACACGGATATCTTTTAGGAGTGTCGTAGACCACCGGGCCAGTAAGGGAACAAGCAAGACTTGATCCAACCTCTGCCCAACCCCTGAATACGAGCCCGGAGACACTGCCTGGTAGGAGGACTACGGACCCAGGATCAAGACTGTATATAATATTGTATATATAAACATATGTGTTAGGATAAGGATTTTAGGGAATAAAAATGGAAGGTTGAGATACCAAGAGTCTTTCACTTATCGACCCTTACCACCCTTGATAAGGCCTAGTGCTCTGGAGGAAACTTCCTCACAAAATATGATACAGTACAAGATTTTTAAGCTTATACATATTTTATCACTTAAGAACCGGCTCATCTTAATCATTACAGATCGGCCAAAATGTCTGTTTTAGCTTCTAGCTACACTAAAAACATGTGTGCCGGTTATTGGCAGTGCTGGCGATAGGGGTGAGTGAGTCACACTGAGTAGCAAGACACAGATGTTTTTACCAAAGAACCTCTGCCAACCCCCTTGCCAGGGGAGCGAGCTGTTCTAATGGTTAGAGTGCTGAGTGCAGGACTTTGGTCCCTGAGGTCCCGGGTTCAAATCCCGCCAATGGATTTTATCTAAGTGATAGTGCAACAACCCCTAGTTCTAGTCTGAAGTACTGTGAAAATACCCCGGGCTCTTGCCTAGCATCCTAGGAAAAAAACCCTTGCCAAGATTCTACCAGTTCTGATCGTGCACACAGAAATTTTGGCTGATCTGTAAAACAGGGGGAATGAGCTGATCCAGTGGTAGAGTGCAGGATTTTGATCTTTGAGGTCACAGGTTCAAATCCCGGAAAATCACCAATGGATTTTATTAATGTGATTATACCGCAACCCCTGGTCTAACCTGAAGTGAAAAACGGTCCTGTTCTAGAGCTTAGTGTCCTAGGACAAAAAAAATAGTAACACAGTCTATGATCTGTCTGATTCATCCTTGGCTCATAAACCCACTTCTGTGCCAAGGTAATACAACCTTTCTCAATCAATGCTATTCAATGTTACATGGTAAAATATTATTATTCACAATCTTGTTAACACAGTATATGTAGGCCCTATAACATGATGCAATGAGATTTACTGAAAGTAAATAAAAATATGTCTATTAAATTTTGAAACATATAGGCTATATATTTAATTTACATAATATTATCCTTGTTTTTGTAGCCTTTTGTTCTTGATTAGGTACCTAACATGTTTGTATCACCCTTTGCATATATATATATAAATATATATATTTAAAAATGGTAAATGGTGATCGATTTTGATTGGACAGTCAAATCATCATCAGACCAATAGGTGAGTGACAAGAACCTCGATGGCATCCCTACTTATATCCTATTGGCTACCGGAAGTTCAGGGCAAGACGTTTCTAAGTACAACTGTAGTATAAAATTTACTTGTTCATTTATTAGCTTATTTTATTTTTACTTTGTCCTTCCTTATGAATATACAATAATTAGGGATCACCACTTACCATTCTTATATGTATTTACTCTTACTGTTTTGTGAGTCAAAGGTGTAAATATGTTTCAAGTGTTATTATAGACATAATTTTATTTACTTTCCGCAAATTTAATAACACCTATTCTGCTGATCAAGAATAAGGTTAAGTCTTATTATTAATTTTAAATGAATAATAAGAATAAATATTTTATGATCATTGCTATATTTACTGCTAATGTTTCCAGACTCTGCAAACTATATACTTTCTCGTGGCTCTCGTAGAAGATGTGTTGAGTGTTTTCAAAGGACAAGAAAGATTAAAGGATAAAGTAAATAAGTTTAAGAACTACTTCTTCACAGTACTGGTGGCACCAATGGCTTTGGTAAGAATATCATTAAACATTTGTACCCAAATTCTAAACATATTCTGGGCGAGGATCCCTGAACCCCCCCTTTTTACTGGGGCTTATTCCGTATCCTATCCCCCCTTCTCGAAAAGTTATAAGGGTACCCATGGTAATTACAGTTTTTCTATAAACTAATATCCAACTATAAGGTTTTAAAATAGTTGACTTAGTATTTTTGGCAGTGCAAATGGCTGAATTAAGAACAAACTTCTCCTTTGTAACAAGTAAACCTTCTGTACCTTTTTGGTCCATGAAATCAAATTACCTGCAAAGCAATACATAAGAGCAACATGTAGGCCTACACTCGATATAAAAAGATTGTGAACTCTAAAGAATATTTATTTGTTTACTATGATTTATTATCTGAAGTTGAATTGAAAATTAATTAACGAAAACTCATGATAAACCGAGGAAATTGGTCAAAGATTAATGCTGATAAAATGGAATCTAGTTCATTCAGACAATTTCTGACATAAATAAACCCTCAGATAGTGTGACTGTCAAATTTTTTGTAAATAGCCTATGTTTGTTTTATAAATTATTTTAGATCAAACTTTTTTAGCGTTATATAGTACAAATTTCATGCGTAGGCTACGCAGCGTAGCTGAAAACCAGGTTTTTTTTTCGAAGCAACCCAAATAAAAAGTACTCTGGGACAGATTTTAATGAAAAAAAAACCAGCTTACCTGTTGGTATCCCTGTTTTCCTTACTTAGTTTCCGATCAGCTGATATACATGTTGCATAGATTTCTATGAGGCTTAGTGTAATTGGGAATTTATTGTAAATGTAAATAAGACTCAACAGAGGGTGTTTTCCCAAGCTCGAAAGGTTAAAAGAATAAGTTAAAAGTAAATCATGGTTTTTATGCCAAGAATGGTTCTAATCAAGCTTCAAGGTGTGATTGCAGTACCTAATAAATCAAGTATTGACATGTACAAATTTAAGGAAATTGAATCTGTAGTAAACAAAAAAAAACTTAAACCTACAGTACAAAGCATACACTGTATTTGAGCTTCACTACGCCTATTGTCGGTGTCTCAATTCTAATTGTTTTATTTTTGCAACAAACTCCGACAACACGGTATTGAAATGTATAGTTTTACCCATATTTGATGTATAACTTAATATTTCACTTTGTCTAATTATTTAATCTTTTTGCAGTTGGTCTCAATAGTTTTCTGGGGTATTTGGTCCGTAGACCGCAACCTCATATTCCCCACAGTATTGGACAAGTACCTGCCTCCTTGGATCAACCATTCTCTCCACACTACCACCTCAGTTGTAGTCTTGCTGGAGATGTATCTCTGTTTTCATAAATATCCTTCATTCAAACCTGCGCTGCTTGGAATTACACTGTACTTGCTCTGCTACTCACTCTGGTAAGAGATTTTACTATGTATTTTTGACAAAAATGTTTATTTATTAAATTTGAAATGTCCTTCATTGTTGGGAGCAGTTGATTATAAATGCTATATCCCACGAATTGTGATGATAAATGAACTAGTTTAAATCTGTGTTGCACTACTTACTGGCAGTGTCGGATTTACCACTAGGCCGATTAGGCCGCGGCCTAGGGCTGCAAACAAAGGGGGGCAGAGGATTGAGAAAAACTTTTTTTAAGATAAAAAAAAATATATTAAGCCACCAGTTTGCTACAATCACAGGTGACTATAATGATGTCCCCGCGGACCGAGGGAGATATTCACGATTTTGCCGCGGCCGCAGGTGACAGTGATGTATCTTCATGATCGAAGCCCGCGGGAGACGTTCAAGAATTAGCCGCTATCACAAGTGTCGATGATGATGTCCCCATGATTGCGGCCCGTGGGAGATGTTCACGATTTCGCCGCGGTCACAAAGTGTCGATGATGATGTCCCCGTAATTGTGGACTGCGGCAGATATTCATGATTTCAACGCGGCTGCAAGTGTTGATGATGGCGTTCCCGTGATTGCGGCTCACGGGAGATGTTCAAGCCGCGGCTAAAGGTGTCAATGAGGAAGTCCCCGTGATGGCTTCCCGAGGGGGGTGTTGACGATTTCGGCACGGACGCAGGTGACAATGATGATGTCCTCATGATCGCAGTCCACAGTTTAATAAAATAAATTCAACTATGCGATCGCAAGTGTCTATGTAAATTTCCCCGTGATTGTTGCTTCGCAGGAGATGTTTACGTCGATGATGATGTCCCCGTGATTGCGGCCCGCGGGATGTTCACGATTTTACTGCGGTCGTGGGTGACGGTGATGATGTCCTCAAGGTCACAGCTCACCACACCACACACACACTCACTAGCTCACTAGGGTTATGATGACGATTTCATCCACGATCACGGGGGTTGATGATGATGTCCTCTTGATGCATAGGAGGTATTCACGATTACTTCCGCGATCGCAAGGAATTTCCACCACAGGGGGAGGGCCGCTCAAGTAATTTGGCCTAGGGCCGCAAGTACCCTAAATCCGGCACTGCTTATTGGTTTTATTAAATTCCAGTGTTTTGTATGCGGATTGTTAGAGGATTAGCTCTCCTCATGTATCCAAATCACTTTTAACCATTGTAGAAGGTTTATATATTAATAAACACTGTCTAAAGGGAGAATATAAAAATACTATTTGTAGTGTGTATCTTAATTGGCTATACGTCTAATGACCCTTTTACTTTCTCCCCCTCTACATAGGATATGGAGAAAGTACGGTATTGTTTTTGTCAACAATTTCAATTTTTTAGTTTCGAGTTTTAGGTGGGAATATTTGTTTTGGGTCCCCCTGAAAACCAAAAAGTGGTTTTTGTAGTGATCACTGTGTGTTTGTGTGTGAGTTTGTGGATGTGTACTGAGCTACAGACTACACCTATGGATTTTGATGAAATTTGGTTTGTGGGTACTAATCCTAGGTGTCTTTTGGTTATTTAGGAAGAAATTTTTATTTTTAGTGGTGATTTATCTAAAAAAAAACCCATAAAACAACAGGAAAATTGGGTTTCCACAAAAACGGCTCGATTGATTTTGATTTAAAATGTTGTTATGGTCCTTTAACACATTCAGTGCGAGGGGCGGGAATTCTCGCCCTGTGGTACCGGCACCACTGGTGCTGTGCGGGAAATGTCGTCCTTCACCAATGCCAACAACCTTGCTTCAATGTGAGCTCAGCCATTGCCGGGGAACGTTATAGAGTGAAAATTTAAAAACGTACGCTTTCAGGAAACACACTTTGCAAATTTTTTTCCCCTTTTTTCAAAACTTTTATTATTTTTTTGATTTCATTAACATTTGAAGTTTCATAAAATGTCCATGGTAACGCAATATCTTTGGTAGTTTTTTTTTAAAAGAGCATCTTTAGTGGAAAAACACAATATCCTGTCACGACCATAACAGACGTTTAAATGAATATTAAAAATAGTTAATATTATTTTTATAACTATGTTTTGCTATAAACTACCTAATTTACTTTTATGACCATTATACATTAAAAAGGTCACTGAGCTTTTAGTATATTTGGTCTTTCTAGAAAAAAATAAAAAACTCAAAAAAATTGAAAAAAGCCAATAATATCTTTTTAAGTTTGTATAACTCCGAAAAAACTTACCTGAGACCCGAAAAATCGTTATGTTTGCATAGAGGCGTGCTTCTTTTGTGTATAAAACATTGAAATATGACGATATTTTAATTTTTGAAATTTTTATGACAGAAATCATAAACGTGATGGTCAGGGACAAGCGGTACGGTCGTGAATTTTATAAAAAAATCTAAATCTTTCTAAACAATCCTTTAATTATACTGTTAGTTATAATAAAAATATGTGTTTCAATTGAACTAAACTGTTCAAATTACAATTATATTAAAGTTATTGTCACGACCAAACACACTATAATCCATAAGGCTGGATAGGTCGTGAAAAAACCCGCGATGGTCGTGAAACTTTGGTCGTGAAATTACGTGTTATTTGGCTCTGTTCTGGCGGTAGCTCTGCACCTCATGTTCGAGGATACAAAGTGGACTTCTAGGTTAATCTAGCAATTGAAATATCTTATAAACAAAAATTAACACCATGTCTACTTCATCGAATGACTATGTACGGTCATGGACACACCAAAATTACAAATAACACAACCTTTCCTGTATTAATCTTGTAATTCCTCCTTTCAACTCAAAACGACCGGCACTACAATACTGACGTACACCCCGAACTAGTCTCTAAAACCAACTGACTCCATCAACGCCAGGCTTGCCACTGTCGTGCTCCAAAGTTGAAAAATTTTCCCAAATGGTCGTGACGCCAAATCGAGGGACAGACTTATTATGTCATGGTAGTCAGTTTGCAATGACAATAAAATTATAATATGCTCCTTTTTTGTAAGTTTAATAACCATTGATGACATAAAAATATGGCTTTATATATTTCGGCATGAATAATTAGTCTAAAAACAGCGTGAAAGTTGGAAAATGTACCCTAGGGACACGTCATGGTCGTGAATTTCGAGACTTTAAAAATACGGAAAAAATACCTAGATCCTATTTAAAACCAAAAATGTGTGTAACATGTTGCCCCCATCCCAAAAAATATTAAAACACATAATAATAAACTACAAATCCAGTAGCTACGAAGTAAAAGGCCAGGGACATGAAAACGTACGTTTTTAAATTTTCACTCTATATTCATTGCCAGACTGTAGCTTAAAATGCGAGCTTTATTCTGGTGTAGGTTGGTACTAAAACTTCCAGTAAAATCCTGTCTGGCAATGCTTTTTTCCCGGTTCCGAGGATTTTCTCTCTTTGAGCCACTATACAAAGACACTGGCTACGGATCCTAGCAGTGCTGCTACCTTTGGGTGTTTCAGTGAACTACGTCCACTCTCGGGTAACGCAGCACAATCACCACTGCTCTTTTTTCATTCGTCAGACTGAAATATTTGAATGCCAATTGCGTTCGCCGATTCGGTCGCACGCTGGGGCTTTGCCTGGGCCTCGCTGCCATTGGCGAGCACCTGTTTGAAGGTATGCCGCGAACACGTTAACCTACATATTGTTACAACCCCCAATGCTGTAACAATTACAATTCAAAAGTTAATGCAACTTTTGTAATAATTTTGCGATTTCCCCCATAAAATATCATAGATACTGCCACCGCTTGTCCGTTATTGGGGTTGTTGATAAGCTAATGGGAGAAAGTATACAGGGTGAGTTTTAAATGAGTTCCCCCCCCCCTACTTTTTTCTACATTTCTTAGGATATCAGCTCCGGACCACATCAGATCAATGTAGAGTAGTAAGTACTTCATTTTAACTGGGTAGCCTATACATTTTTGGCCGCCATCTTGGATCCGCCATATTGGATACAAAGTTTTTTTTTTCAAATGTAAAGGTAGGGTTGTGACCCATCATTTCAAATTAAAATTAACGCTGAGTACAATGCCGCAATTAGTTTTTAAGAATCTAGATCCGTTCTAAAGTACTTTTTATAACTTTATTTTATTTTTAGCCCTATTAACATTGTACATTTACAAACTAAGACCATAATCTCAAAATAGTACCCATAATTTTGAACTACCTTTTTATGCTGAACTCAATGCCGCAATCAGTTTTTCATTTTCATATTTGGTTTTTGAAATATTGACATTTTAAATAAGATAATTTTAATATTTCACCAAGAAACCTTGATAACCAAAAACGCATTGCGGCATTGAGTTCAGCATAATAAAGTAGTTTAAAATTATGGGTCACAACACCACCCTTGTATTTAAATTAATTTGTCACATTTCAAAATGGCGGATCCAAGTTGGCGCCTGAAAAAAATACATCCATCATAACCAAATGAAAATAGTTTGACAATGAATAGTGGTGTATACTTATCTTTATCTAGCTTTATTTTGAGATTATGGTCTTAGTTTGTAAATGCATAATGTTAAAATGGGCTAAAAATAAAGTTATAAAAAGTCATCATAACTTTAGAATGGATCCAGATTTTAAAAACTAATTACGGCATTGTACTCAGCGTTAAATTCTAATTTGAAATGATGGGTCACAACCCTGGTAACTTAAAAAAAAACTTTGTATCCAATATGGCGGATCCAAGATGGCGGATCCAAGATGGCGGCCAAAGATGTATACCCAGTTAAAATGAAGTACTTACTACTCTACAATGATCTGACGTGGTCCGGGGTTGATATCTTAAGAAATGTAGAAAAAAGTAGGGGGGGAACTCATTTAAAACTCACCTTGTATATGTCAGATTGACTATTTATTTCAATTGTAAACACTTTTTTGTAATTTTTCAGTCTGATGCTGACCTATTACCAGAGCGGTGCTTGGCTCTACCCTGTGTTTAAAACCCTTAACTGGACCCTAAGGATAACATTCTGTTTAGCAACATACGTTCTAGCAATCGCTCTCTACGGAGCTCAATACTTCCTCAACAAAGTTTTTTGGGGTGAGTGTACTGTATATTTTGATGTGATACTTAGTTAACCAATAGGCCTAATTAACTAATCATGACCAAACTATTAATCACCATAATCAACCAATTGAACAAGCAAACTTATACACGTTTTGTTGCTCAATGAAGTCCAAACCTGTCCTTGAGTGTTATGCAAAGTCTTTTTAGGTCCTGTCATAGAGAAGTATAAGGAACAGAGGATACAGTCCATGGTACACTTAAATGTTGTCTAGCACCAGTGCTGGTGTCTAGGGTTAAGTCCAACACCGTTCTCACACGCCCTCATGTACTACAACGCTCATGGTTGAGGAAGACCCTGTGCCCTGTGCGATAGGAATTTCCGCTAAGTGCTCTCCGCTTGGGCTCTTCCTTGCTTGTCACAAGTATATTTCCCACACAACATACCAGAGTTGAAAGCACACGGTTGTCCCATAAGCCTGTTTCCTCTGTACCTTACTTCTCTGTAGTCCTGCAGATTTATAAAATTTAAAGTTTTCCCAACCAGCGAATAGAACCTGAAGAGTTCAAGATTGGCTTTATTGTTAGTTTTGGTTAGTAAATTGTAGTTCACATATCTGAGGCACAATTCTCAATATGTATATTTACCATCCACCTGGAGCTAATAAAAAACAACTATCTATTTTGTTTTTTAAGTTTAAAAATAATGTACTATTTACTCTTAAAACATAGCACTATAAAGTTTCTAATTTGATCTGGGGGTTCTTAGATAGATTTGTTGAATTAGTATCTGAAAATGTTAACAAATATAATATATATTCTATCAAGTTTTAACACTCAACTGGTTGAATTTATAAAAAAGGTAAAGAAAATTATAATATGAGGTTTGTTTGTAAATTAACGTCTCCATTGTGCACATATTTACAGAAAACCTTTATAATGTACTTTAAACACCAACACCATTCATTTCCTCTGACTTACGCCATTGTACTTTGGAATTGTCAAAGCTTGCACTTAGGCTAATATAAATTACTGTTGCACCTGTTGCTCGAATTCGAGCAATTGCAAAGTATTATAGGCGTTATTTCAAAACGAATAACAGTCATAATTTCCGACGACTTAAAAGTTTTAACTCAAAGATAATGTAACCAATCACTCCACTCCAGTTATTGACACTGAAAACGAACGCTCTTGTGTGTATCATGTGTTTACTATGAACAGCTGTTTTAGTATACAATTATTACAAATTATTTGTCTGCTTAAGTAAACAAAATATTTTCTTCATAAGAAATACACTGGGATTTTGATGGCATGTGGAGCAATGCCCGAGGCCTTTTATTACAGGAATTGGTGAAAGGGGGTGTCTACACATAAAATACTTAATTTTTGCACATTGTTTGTAAAAATCTGTCCATTATTAACGGAGGAGTAGTGTTTTGTAGAAATCGCCTTCACGTATTATATATAAGAATGGTTGGTCTATGAAATAAATGACAGAAAACAGTGAAACTCATCCTAAACAAATTTAACCTGACCTAATTTGGTCTAAATCACCCCAAATATTCTAAATAGCCTGAACGAATTACGTATTTTATTGTTACTGACAAAAATTTATACTCTAGGAAATGATGACAAGCTCTTAATGCCAGATGGTATTCTTCTGAGGTATTTATGTCCAAAAACTCAATTGAATGCTGTGCTTTGTTTCAAAACAGTGGTTTTGTCATTGACTAAATATGTTGTGATGATTAACAGGGAGGGTATATTTAAGCACTGGACTTGACGAAGGTAGATTTAATTGGCTCCTGAAGGAGATACAATTCATCAGCATGAGAAATACTGTATACTAATTTAATTTTGTGATATAACACATCTGAATGCTTAAACAGTGTTTATGCGATCTAAATCTACATTTTGCAATATTACATGTCATTAATTCATCATTAATTCTGATTTCTCCATTATTTTGTGTGTTTTATCCAACAATGTTTGTTAATGCGCCTAATAATGTGTTATGTGCTATCAGTTATTTAAAATGTTTCTCCTTGTTAATGTATATTATTTCATCCATTTGTTCAATGCTACCGGTATATAATATCCCATCACCCCACAGAAATATCATTATATTTTATATCTATACTAGCTGTAACCCGCGGGCTTTGCCCCGTTTAACTTCTTAATTTTCAAGATGATCTCGTTCGCATGACTCAATAACGTCCTGGTTGAAGTTCGTTCGCTACGCTCACTCACCTTTAGGTTGGAGCTTGTTCGCTACGCTCACTCACCTTTAGGTTGGAGCTCATTCGCTGCGCTCACTTGCCTTCAGGTTAGCTCGTTCGCTACACTCACTTGCCTTCAGGTTAGCTCGTTCACTACGCTAACTCGCCTCCAGGTTGAAGTTCGTTCGCTACGCTCACTCACCTATTGGTTGCAAATTAGCTGTTGTCATAAATGTAAAAGAAATAATAGTGCTACACCCTGTTGGTAATTCCATTTCTCATAAGGTTAACATGGGAAACTCCAGAGCCACTGGGGCGGAGCCGATTGGACGGATCACGAAATTGATGGTGTATATAAACCTATTCCATGAAATTCTACATGTATGTACCAAGTTTCGTGGCAATCGGTTCAGCGGTGTCTGAGTTTATCACTGCCAAATATATATATATACAAAAATCCTCTTTTATACTTATAGATAAATAAAATTACAGTTTTGTCTGTACATTGCTTAGAATCATGCAGTTTTTGGTTATTTTTACGTTTCATAGTCTAAGAAAGCCGAAACGAGTCTTATCTCAATTTCTGTCTGTTTGTCCATTCTGTGGTTTCGTCTGTGACGCCAAAATGTCACTTTACGCGGCCTACTCCTAGAAAACTAGAGTACCGATCAAGGTTCAAATCATTTTTCTGTATTTACTGAATTAGTGAGAGTGTCTTTGGCTATAAAAACATTGCCTCGCTTCATTGAAAACAAAATAACGAACGATCAAATACCCATTTTTGTTTTATTTTTGTCAAATTTTCTTTCAATGTTTACTATTACATTTTATGAAATAACTATCAGCTGTTTGGATTAGTTCTCACTTCTAGCTGTCACTGATATGTTTACATTAAAAGTTGTTTACAAATACCGCAACCATTTCCGATCAAGTTTTGTTAGCACATCCAAACCAAGTGAGATTAAAAACGTTGTGCCTTACTTAACCGGTTTAATTAGTCGCAAGTGCAACTATTGTTCTTGAGTTTTGATAACCGGGGAAAATAACGTGAATCAGTGTTGTATTAGTGCTGGGAAACTTATATTTTTTTTTACCATCGCCACCAATAGCTTACAAAAAGTTCTCATTGACGGCGCTTCAAGGACATTTGTGTAAAGTGCAAACAAAGTAAAAAATCACAACTGTGATCGTGGATGTTGCTGCGATCTTGGAAGATCTTTCTGATTTCGCTGTGATCGTAACAGAGGTTTAACTTACAGATGTAGCTCGCTTTTCCAATGTGTCACTTTTGGTTTCTACTTACTTCGTTATTTCTTTTTTATTTCTTTTACTACTTTTTACTTTTTTCTTTTTTTACTTTTTTTATTTCTTTTTTATTTCTTTTTTTATTTCTTTTTTTTTATTTCTTTTTTTACTTTGTTACTTAGTTCGTTATTTCGACAATGATATCGGTTCTTTTACTACTTAGGAAGTAAAACAGAGCATAGAATAAATATAGAGTCGCCAATCCTATACCTACAGCTATACCAGTAGTGAAGCCAATTTTCGCCATCAGTGACGTAGCCAGGATTTCAAAATGGGGGGGGGGGTCGACCGACCGGGGTGTCTGGGGGGTATTCCATACCCCCAGTTAAAAGTGGGTTTTGGGGAAAATTTTAAAAATATAGGCCCTTAAACGGTCTTTTTTTATTTCTCTTGGCATTGAAATAATCAACCCCCATGACAATACAGAATGATTATATAATTTGACATTTAATTTAACAAAAAAATATTATATTTAAGACCGGCAGGGAGGGTCCGGACCCCCAGGACCCCCCCTCTGGCTACGTCACTGTCGCCATCTATGTATTCTATGCTCTGTGAGTAAAACTACAAACATCCAAAACCCCAGATTTGTGCGTTTTTGTCACATTTCCTCCGAATGTTTGCTAGATATATGTATCGTTTAGAGATTACGTAATATTTTAAATAAGAAACCTTTGTTTGTATAAAGGTGGTTTCTTCAAACTGTCATTGATATGTTAACATTAAAAGTTGCTTACAAATATTGCTATTAATGGGAAATAACTTTGATTTTCAAAAACTTAAAAAAAATTAAAACCAAGGGAGATTAATAACTTCGGTACTGCACCACATCAAGTGAAAGTTTTTTTTGAGCAAACCATAGTGAGTTTTTTAAAGCTTTACGTTGTTAACGTTACATGTTACATGTTTTGTGGCCTGTGTGTTTATTAATTTATATATTTTCCAACGGATTAACACCCATAATGCAGTTTGATTAGAGGGACAGTTAGAATTGGTCGTAAGTACTATAGTTATTTTCTTAAATGTAAACGTTGGTTTTTGGTACTGCTACTTTTCCTTAGAACCGTTGATAGCAGTAAGAACCATTTTTACGTACAAACACATTACTATTTACAACTATAGTTATGGTTAGTGCTGCACCTTATTTCTTATTAAATTTAATTGATGTCTTATTGTATAATTTTTGCGTTTTCTGTCTGGACTCCAAAATGTTAGTTTGTGCTATGAAAATGATAAAACATTAGTGAAAGATTTTTTTTAGGAAACCATCATGAATTTTTAAAGCTTGGCGTTGTTAACGTATAAATGTTTTGTGGACTGTGTATTTATTTACTTATTTATATATTTGCCAACAGATTTACAGAAAATTTTCAGTTTGATTAGGCCTAAAAACGATTTTCATAAAATTTGATGACACTATCAAAATTTTCAAATAATTATTTTGTTTGTAATTTGCTTTGGTTAAAGGTAGCAAATCCCCTAATTCAATTCTGTATTTGTGTGTGTATGTCT